GGGGCTCCCCACCATCTGGGGGACGTTCAGATGGGTGCCCACCATCTGATGAAGGTCTTGGGGGGGGTTCCTCACCATCCATGGGTGTTTTGGAGGGGCTCCCCACCATCTGGGGGACGTTCAGATGGGTGCCCACCATCTGGTGAAGCTCTTGGGGGGGTCCCCACCATCCAGGGGCAGTTTGGGGGGGGCTCTCCACCATCTGGGTGATGTTCAGATGGGTGCCCACCATCTGATGAAGCTCTTGGGGGGGGGTCCTCACCATCCGAGGAAGGTCTGGGGGGGCTCCCCACCATCCAAGGAGGGCCTTGGTGGGGGTCCCCACCATCTGGGGGACGTTCTGATGGGTGCCCACCATCTGATGAAGGTCTTGGGGGGGTGCCCACCCTCTGAGGACGGTGTTGGGGAGGTCCCCCTCATCCAAGGAAGGTGTGTGGGGGCTCCCCACCATCCGGGGGACGTTCATATGGGTGCCCACCATCAGATGAAGCTCTTGGGGGGGTTCCTCACCATCTGAGGAAGGTCTGGGGGGGTTCCCCACCAACCAGGGGCAGTTTGGGGGGGGCTCCCCACCATCCAGGAGACGTTCCGATGGGTGCCCACCATCTGATGAAGGTCTTGGGGGGGTTCCTCACCATCCGAGGAAGGTTTTGGGGGGGGTCCCCACCATCCAAGGAAGGTCTGGAGGGGCTCCCCACCATCCAGGGGACGTTCAGATGGGTGCCCACCATCTGATGAAGCTCTTGGGAGTGGTCCCCACCATCCAAGGAAGGTCTTGGGGAGGTCCCCCTCATCCAAGGAAGGTGTCGGGGGGCTCCCCACCATCCAAGGAGGGTCTTGGTGGGGCTCCCCACCATCTGATGGACGTTCAGATGGGTGCCCACCATCTGATGAAGGTCTTGGGGGGGGTTCCTCACCATCCATGGGTGTTTTGGAGGGGCTCCCCACCATCTGGGGGACGTTCAGATGGGTGCCCACCATCTGGTGAAGCTCTTGGGGGGGTCCCCACCATCCAGGGGCAGTTTGGGGGGGGCTCCCCACCATCTGGGTGATGTTCAGATGGGTGCCCACCATCTGATGAAGCTCTTGGGGGGGGTCCCCACCATCCGAGGAAGGTCTTGGTGGGGCTCCCCACCATCCGGGGGATGTTCAGATGGGTGCCCACCATCCGATGAAGCTCTTGGGGGGGTCCCCACCATCCATGGGCGTTTTTGGGGGGGCTCCCCACCATCTGGGGGACGTTCAGATGGGTGCCCATCATCCAATGAAGCTCTTGGGGGGCTCCCCACCATCCGGGGGACGTCCCGATGGGTGCCCACCATCCGACGAAGCTCTTGGGGGGGTTCCTCACCACCGGAGGAAGGTCTGGGTGGGTTCCCCACCATCGGGGGGGGTCCCCACCATCCAAGGAAGGTCTGGAGGGGCTCCCCACCATCCAGGGGACGTTCAGATGGGTGCCCACCATCTGATGAAGCTCTTGGGAGTGGTCCCCACCATCCAAGGAAGGTCTTGGGGAGGTCCCCCTCATCCAAGGAAGGTGTCGGGGGGCTCCCCACCATCCAAGGAGGGTCTTGGTGGGGCTCCCCACCATCTGATGGACGTTCCGATGGGTGCCCACCATCTGATGAAGGTCTTGGGGGGGTTCCTCACCATCCGAGGAAGGTTTTGGGGGGGGTCCCCACCATCCAAGGAAGGTCTGGAGGGGCTCCCCACCATCCAGGGGACGTTCAGATGGGTGCCCACCATCTGATGAAGCTCTTGGGAGTGGTCCCCACCATCCAAGGAAGGTCTTGGGGAGGTCCCCCTCATCCAAGGAAGGTGTCGGGGGGCTCCCCACCATCCAAGGAGGGTCTTGGTGGGGCTCCCCACCATCTGATGGACGTTCCGATGGGTGCCCACCATCTGATGAAGGTCTTGGGGGGGTTCCTCACCATCCGAGGAAGGTTTTGGGGGGGGTCCCCACCATCCAAGGAAGGTCTGGAGGGGCTCCCCACCATCCAGGGGACGTTCAGATGGGTGCCCACCATCTGATGAAGCTCTTGGGAGTGGTCCCCACCATCCAAGGAAGGTCTTGGGGAGGTCCCCCTCATCCAAGGAAGGTGTCGGGGGGCTCCCCACCATCCAAGGAGGGTCTTGGTGGGGCTCCCCACCATCTGATGGACGTTCCGATGGGTGCCCACCATCTGATGAAGGTCTTGGGGGGGTTCCTCACCATCCGAGGAAGGTTTTGGGGGGGGTCCCCACCATCCAAGGAAGGTCTGGAGGGGCTCCCCACCATCCAGGGGACGTTCAGATGGGTGCCCACCATCTGATGAAGCTCTTGGGAGTGGTCCCCACCATCCAAGGAAGGTCTTGGGGAGGTCCCCCTCATCCAAGGAAGGTGTCGGGGGGCTCCCCACCATCCAAGGAGGGTCTTGGTGGGGCTCCCCACCATCTGATGGACGTTCCGATGGGTGCCCACCATCTGATGAAGGTCTTGGGGGGGTTCCTCACCATCCGAGGAAGGTTTTGGGGGGGGTCCCCACCATCCAAGGAAGGTCTGGAGGGGCTCCCCACCATCCAGGGGACGTTCAGATGGGTGCCCACCATCTGATGAAGCTCTTGGGAGTGGTCCCCACCATCCAAGGAAGGTCTTGGGGAGGTCCCCCTCATCCAAGGAAGGTGTCGGGGGGCTCCCCACCATCCAAGGAGGGTCTTGGTGGGGCTCCCCACCATCTGATGGACGTTCCGATGGGTGCCCACCATCTGATGAAGGTCTTGGGGGGGTTCCTCACCATCCGAGGAAGGTTTTGGGGGGGGTCCCCACCATCCAAGGAAGGTCTGGAGGGGCTCCCCACCATCCAGGGGACGTTCAGATGGGTGCCCACCATCTGATGAAGCTCTTGGGAGTGGTCCCCACCATCCAAGGAAGGTCTTGGGGAGGTCCCCCTCATCCAAGGAAGGTGTCGGGGGGCTCCCCACCATCCAAGGAGGGTCTTGGTGGGGCTCCCCACCATCTGATGGACGTTCCGATGGGTGCCCACCATCTGATGAAGGTCTTGGGGGGGTTCCTCACCATCCGAGGAAGGTTTTGGGGGGGGTCCCCACCATCCAAGGAAGGTCTGGAGGGGCTCCCCACCATCCAGGGGACGTTCAGATGGGTGCCCACCATCTGATGAAGCTCTTGGGAGTGGTCCCCACCATCCAAGGAAGGTCTTGGGGAGGTCCCCCTCATCCAA